GATCTTTATAACTAATAATATAACGGTCACGTCAAAACTAACAACAATGCCGTTGTACTAAATATAAAAAAAATATAGTACATACGTAATATTTCAGCTTTATATCTTTCCATAGAAAAATGAATGGTAAGTGAAGATGAGGTTTGTTAGTTAAGTATTCATTCCTATCAAGAAATAATTCACTTTCTGATTCGTATAAACAGCCACTTCATGATGGTATTTTCGTAGACAGTGAAAACATGTCGAAGCTCCTCCATTCATATGCAGTTTTAGTTACGTACATAGAACTAAAACATGTACCCTTCTCTTGTTACACAATAACTTCATATTCTGCACATTAAAATTTGGAACATACGACAAAAACACAATAAAAATCATCAAAAGTGACTCGCAAGTAATGGTTCAGTGAAAACACAAGTAGGGTACAGATCATTAAAATTGTTTTAGCAAGACGGGTACAGTTATCAGAAATGTCGCCTCTATTATTTACTATGTTTTATCAATATTCAAAGATATTTTCATTAGTGTCTGTCCGGTAACATGAGGTTAAGACAATAAACTTAAGTTTCAGATATCAGTTATAGTGAAATAAAATAATTTTAAGCATACATTTGCTTGTGTAATCGGCGTGTGTTGACATAAACAAAACATGAGGCGAAGAGCTTAGCGTTTTATGCGCATATATTTTACGAAGAAGGTTATGGATGTATATTTGAGCAAAGATAAATTATTTCTTAAAATGATTCAAATGTTAACATACCGTAACATATTAAATTCAAGCCGATTTTTGATAGTTTAATTTGTCATTACGCCTGATTGTACGTTTAGATGCTGAGATTTTCTCACAAGATCCGGTTGGGGTTCAAATCGTTTATATACTGCTAAATTTCAAGGAACATGTCAAACGAAAGTGCCGTACTGCAATGTTAAACTATCTTAGAATAAAACGTATCCGAAAATACCTCACCAAAGAAGCAGCTGAAATACTAGTAATAGCACTCGTAATGTCACACTTGGATTATTGCAATGTCATTCTTTATGGTGTATCCGATTTTGAATTGAAAAAAATGCAACGTTTTCAAAACACGTGCGCTAAGTTAGTTCTGCAACGAAAGAAATTTGACAGTTCAAGGCAAGCATTGTTCGACATTCACTGGCTGCCCATCAAATCTAGAATCGAATATAAAATTCTGACTTTTGTATACAATTGTTCAATCGGTCATGCTCCAAAATACTTTTCTGAACTCCTAACCAAACAAGTACCAAAAAAACCCGACTACGTTCAGCTAAAACCTCTGAGACCTGCTACGATATTCCATTCAATAAAAGAAAAACATTTAGTGACAGAAGTTTCGGAACTATTGGTCCAAAATTGTGGAATCCGCTGCCATTAGAGTTGAAACAATCTAAGAATATTGATGTATTTAAGAGAAATCTTAAAACACATTTTTTCAGAAAGTTTGAATCACTATTTTAAAATTTGAAATGAGATAAACATGAGTAACGTATAACTAATGACTGACAGTGTGATGAATGTGCAATGTAAATGAATGTTTTATTCTTTTTAATCTATTTGTAATCAAGTTACATGTATGTAAATAATCTTATCTCATGCTACATGTATATCAGTTTTATCATTTTAAGGTCTCTAATTTTTTTTTTAAAAATATGTTAATTGGAATTGTATGTTAAAGCTTTTATTTCATTTGATGTTGATTCTTATTATATTATATGTACTGTACAACGCCGTTGAATATTGTTAAATAGAAACAGGCGTTTAATCAAATAAAAAGTTTCAAGTTTCAGGTTTCAAGTTATATTCTTTATTAATGTCAAACATTTTTTTAATAATGTTATGTAGTAATGTGTTGCAAAGCTAGCAAAATGTAAAATAGTTTTGACTTCCATACAAAATACTAATTCAATTTAACTAATTGGTTACCAATTGCTAACAGGGCAAAAGCTCAATAGTTCTTCTATATGGCAAATGCGTATATTTTGGAAACTGTAACAAAAAACCAAACATAAAAGTTTTTTAGAAATAAAGACGTTGGCCAGTGGAGGCATAATGGGCCTTTAAAATTCATACCTCATAAAAGGACGTACTAGAATATCTGTTAGGTTTGTGTTTCGTACTTTTTGTATGTTGTATAGGTCTCTGGTAACAATACACGTATTATTAGCGGTATAATAATTAACTTTTTGTTTAGACATTGCTTCGACAGTGTACATGTCAGCTTTATACAGGTGGACACAATAAGAAGGATGTGTGGATATTTAAAAAAAAGGTTTTCATTTAACTGCTGAATGAACTAGTCTGTCTACCTGTACATTTGATTGGAAGATTTTTTTCTTGCCTGCATTTTTGATGCCAACACATTTCATGTGAGGACTTTTGTCAACAGTGTCATTTTAGGAGGGAATGGCTATTGTTCAGGTGAGCTTTTGTCTGTTTCAAAAATAAACATTTTAGTAAATTTCAGAGGTTAATACAATGTCTCATTAAAGGGTTTAATTCAGATATGTAATTGTGTCAATCTTTATTGTATTGACATACAGAACGTTATGCGACAGATACGTGGCTGTTATACTGCCAGTCATAAAATAACCAGTAGATTATGAAAGTTGACATTACAGTCGAATAAACATACAGGCAAGTTGCAAAAGATGGAGTGGTAGGCTAGTACATTAAGATGTACACTTTACCACAATGTTCTTTCAGAGGTGCCCCATTCCTTTTGTAATAAGGTAATCAACATTGTATAAATATTGTTACTCACAAACCCATGTGTTATTAATTATATTACCCCGAACAAAAATTTTGTGATGATTTGAAATTGTCAACTTAATCTTACTGTAACAAAAATAAACCAAGAGTAACAATAACTAAACTGTCCTTACCTTTTAAGTTTTAAGTGTACTTTAGGCCTACTTGAGAAGTTTTCATTTTCTTTTATTCTTTAAGCAAGTGATGATATCTACAAATCATAAACATAGTACAATAAGCTAGGTTTTACGTGTTATTTGTGCCGTCTGGCGGCTGTAACAAGTCTCCCCGTACATTTAATCAATTATGTTATATTTTCGATCCTTGAAGATCGTTCAGCACGACATTATTGTTGTGCTTGTGGTATTTTTAGATTCAACTTTTCGGCATTTTCTAGTTGGGTGATATGTTGCCTGCTTTTTAAATTTGTCTTTTGACGTCTTATCTGTGATACGCACGCTTCATAACCTCTGACCCCTTTCAAAATTCCATTTTATTATGTTCCGCCCATTGTTTTATACGTTTAGGGCACACGTATTTTTTTTAATTGGGGACCATACGCCGCTTTTCATGGAATGGCACGGAGGTGTCACATTGAAGGTTCCGTGATTATAACCGCCGTATGAACAATTAAGTGGATGTTTCTTAATTCAAAATTTTACTATTTCATGTTTAAATGTTGAATTCTGCTTAAGCCGGTACTAGGGGCGTGGGCGGTAACTTGCACTTTCCAGTACCGTCCATGAACCGGCTCAATCAAACCGAACCTGCAACATTTTCAATTCTGCCGTCTTGGGCTTTCTTAAAGGGATTCTGTATTTATCTATTTTATTTAGAAAACAAAACACAAACTCATCTACACGGTAATTATCTGTGAAATCTGATTCTTCTTTCTAGATTATTCTAAGCATGGTTTTTAACAAAATAATGATGATATCCTATGTCTTTCCACTATATCTTTAACGTTGCACGGAATAAAATTGTTAAACAATCCTTTGTTGCATGCTTAATCGTCTGCATGTTCCAGTTTGACATACAATTATTTACATTGCAATTACTTCCGTTGAAAACGGAAGTTCACTTTTCGACTTATCATCAAATAGATATTTTACTCGCAAAAAGCACACCAGGGTGCAAACAACAAAATTTTATGAGTGTCAAAGTTACTCCAGAGAAGAAATTGATGACCTATCGGGTTTTAATAACGTTTAATTTAAAATGACAATGAATCAAGAAAAAAAATGGCGGCCATTATATTTCATTTTATTTAGAAAATAGACCACGTATCCAGATTTTATACTGTTAAAAAAATACTGTTACATATGTAACAGTACAAAATTCTAAGTCACGTGGTACACTTGCATTAACAGTAAAAACAATTCCCAGGGGCCTATGGGAAATCAGCATAACGAAAAAAGTGAAGGGTTATAATATACTCTGTTACTGTCTGCTCAGCAAAAACATAAATATCATTTTACTGACTTTTTGACTGACCTGATATCAAGAAGAAATAAGTTTGTGGGTTACAGTAAAGATATAATTCCGATGAAATTACTGTTACCCGAGGCGTTAGCCTGTGTGTCATTTATTGTATTGTAACAATATGAACATTTCAACTTAATCTAACTGTATCAAAATTGAACCAAGAGTGACAATAACTCAACTGTGCTTACCTTGCAAGTTGTACTTGTGAAGTTATTTTTCTTATATTCTTTAAGCAATGATGATATCTACCAGACTGAATAAGCTGTATTTATTACAAACTCATTTATAGGGGTTACGATCTGTGAAATCTGATCCTATCCAGAATATTCCCCTCATGGGTTTTGACAATGTTCATTTATGAAATTACCATGTCTTACATCCATATTTTTCTACCACATGTCTTTTTCACTGATTAATTTCGTTAATAATCCTTTATTGCATTCTTGAATCGTTTGCTTGTTCCATTTAGACACATAATTATTCCAATGCAACAACGTCCGATGAAAACGGATGTTTACTTTTTGTCTATTCAACCAACGTGAAAAGCCCTTAAGCCTTAAAATGGTGCAAACAACTAAATTTCCTCTTGTGATGCCCCTGCGTGGTGAACATCGAAAAATTAAGAGCCTGAATTGAGAAACAATGGCGGCCATTTTCTTTTTAGAATATAAGCAGTGGAAATTTTTTAGTCACGTGGTACACTTGCGTTAACAGTTTTGAATTACTCCCTGGGGCCTCTTGGAAAACCTAGCTTTATTTAGTGAAACATATAAAGATGTTTATATTTGTAAACTTATTATCATTGCTTACTCTAAGAGATTGGAGGAGGAAGGGCCAGGATTTTCGGTTATATGAACTTTCCGGAAATTGTTAACCATTTCGGTTTTCTAGATGAGCCTCGCTTTGAAAAGCGTCACTTTCGGACCACAGACTTAGTCATTTCAGAGAAGTTTCATAATTTGTATTTTGATCTCGCATTTCATAGGTTTTAGCAACCAATTTTATGCTAATATTGTTCTATTCTTTAAAAGCATCTGTTATTTTACTATATTCGCTTCAATTTTGGCATAATTTCTATGTCTTTTGTAAATCAATTTGCGGACATGATTTGACCTACTTTTAGCACGTGGGTTTCAGAACAAAGAAAGACATAATTTACAATTATTTATTATTCAAACGTGCTATTATTGTGAAGTTTGCCCTTGAGAAGTCACTGTATAGAAAATGGCTCTTAACTTTCTCATTTTGGGGCATTCATTTGCGAAAAGATTGTCGAGGTGGTGTTGCCATAATAGCTTATATAACCTTAATTTAGATAATAAAAGGATTCAAATTTTCTGGCATGGTGTTGGTGGTGCTACTATGTCCAATCCTCACCACCACAAGTCTTTGTGGTCCGAAATCCACCTTGTGTCTGATTTGAATGTGAAAGTTACTGTCTTAGACATTGGCTCGAATGATTTATGTAATCACGATGCCAGTGCAGTTTCTGTTGCCAGTCATATACTTTCTTTGGCAGAGGCGATCCTTTTAAAAGGCTGTGATATGGTTGTTATTTTTGAGATATTGCAAAGACAGTCTCAACCTGCATTTAATGCTAAAGTACAAGAAACTAATCAGATTCTTAGTGACAAATGCTCTAATCACCAAAATTTGATATTTTGGTCTCATTCGAGAAATAATTTCAACATTCGTTTCCTTAGGGACTATGTGGACAAAGATGGAATACATGTTGATTATGTGAGAGGCATGCCACGCTATTATACATCAGTAAGGGGTGCTTGCTTACTTGCAGAACAATTCCATGGCACATTGTCTTAATATGTCAGTCACAAATGCAGTTTCATTGTATATAATTTAGTATTAACACTTCGTTCACTTTACAGGTTTGCTGTCACTTTGAATTGTTGAACAAAAATCAGTGCATAGATTGACATATTTTGAATTGTATGTGTTGAGTGATATTTTCTACATTGCCGGACGAGCTTCCACTATTTACGTGGGTTTATTTTTGTTTTATATTTTCACAAACTTAATAGCATTTTTGCTATTTTTTCTCTATGTTTGTAAAACAGTTGCTCAGTTGGAATATACAGTATCTTTTAGCAAACTGTTGTCTGTTATACAGCATAGTCTATATTATAGTCTTTATTGCACTTGCAAGATTTACATATGGCTTTGTCTTGATTCGATTCAAACATTCTCCGATCAACGCATGGGAATACCTTTCCTTTTGCAACGACTTCTGATTAATACTTTGTTACATAGGAATTCTGTCCTTTGATTGTGACAGTTTTTAATTTTATTTTATTAAAAAAATTTCCTATCAACGCTCAACACAAACTTAAACGATTTTACACAATCGTATATGATTATATCATTATGTATATTTCATTACCATCTGTGCCAAATACTTTTCCATTGGAATTATAGAAAATACACATATATGCTTGTTGTTAATCTGTTATATGATTCTAAGGAGTACAACAGGGAATGTATTTGGTTACTGTGGCAAAGTTTCATATTTTATGGACTTTTCCGTGATTGATGCATAGGCCATATTTTATGGCCTTTTCCCTTAGTGACACATAGGACAACCTTTCCTTTTGCAATGTCATGGGGCTTTCTTTCTGACTGAGACACCAATTATAGTGACGCATAGGGGAAAAAAAAAAAAAAAAAAAAAAAAAAAAAAAAAAAAAAAAAAAAAAACTCCTTTTGCATTGTCACAATTTTAATGACTTTTCATTTATACTTTATACTAGAGGGGCGCATGGGACATCTGTTCCTTTTGAAAAGTCCCACAAGATTGTTTATCATCTTCATGATGCTATATAAATGTGGCGCATAGAAATAAATTCCTTTTGCAATGTCATTTATTTTAATATATTATTGACGCAAAGGGTTATTTTACCCTTTTGCAATGTCAGTTTTTACGAAGTATCTTGTACTTTTCAGTGTTTGGCATTCACATATGCAAGGAAACTATTTACTATTATGTTTATTCCCTTATCTAATACTTAATTACATGTTTCAGAATGCCAAAAAGAAAACCCTCCGCGTCTACCAGTGGTAAAGGCAAGGCAACAACATCATCCACTAGCGACGACCACAGGTTGGCGAGCATCATCGCCAATGCTTTAGTGCAGAATAAGTCTGCACTGAAGGAAGTAGCCGCCTTATTACCACCAATGACGATAGAACCAGGCATCCGCCCCGACGGTACAGAGGCGGAATTAACAGAACCGGATCATGCCGTCCAAAAGCAGCCGCGGCTGGGTAATACTTGTACTGACAATAGTGACTCTGACATTGATGAAGACAATTTGTCAGTTTGCGCTTATTCTCATGGATCTGATCGTCTGTCAAGCTGTCAAGACAGCCCAGACACAGTTAATGAAATTGATTTGGAGACCTTTTCCTCAGTACACCCTGTCGTCAGTAAAAAATTGCGCACCAAAATCCTTAATAGGGAGTTTGTTGATCTCGGGGAGATATACTTTTCAGACAACTTACTGTCTGAAACAACTACCATTAAAAAACACCTGGGGCAACTATAAAATCAGTGCACAAATCAGCGCCAAAACAGATTTCAAATATCATGACCTGGAATCGTGCATTCCAAGTTTATGCTGATATTTATGCCAGCAAATATCAGTCTGAAGGTTACCAAATGTTCAGATACATGACCCTTATCCAGAACTTAGCCAATCATGGCATTGCTTGGATAACTTACGATCAGAAGTTTAGACAACTGAGAACTTCAGCCAATCTAGCCTGGGGTTTTATACATACAGAAACGTACCTTCATTGCATGATCTTGAAACCTTCCTTTCGTGTCAGTTCACCACAGTCAGGAAGTTCCTACACCCCTAAAGTACCCTTGCACATCCTGCAGCGCCGAGGATATTGCTGGGAATACCAGAAATTCTCCTTGTGTTCAAAACAAATATGTGACAGATCACATAAATGTTCCAATTGTGAAGGCTTCAATCATGGAGCCAGTAAGTGCACCAAACCTTTTAGACGCACACAAACTGCTGATACCTTCTCCAAACCAAAGTCAAACGGCCCTCAAAACCCTCACCCAAGACAGGCTCCCTCTAGCAAATAGATTTAATTTGCCCACACCTATCAAAGTAGATGTTCTTTCCAAGTACTTACAGGTCTACCCATGTTCAGACAAAAAATTTTTATTAGATGGTTTTCGTAATGGGTTTCCCCTTGGTTCAATTGGTTCTATTTCTGTTAAAATACCACCAAACCACCCTTCAGTTGCTAATCACACAAACTTTGTATCTGTTAAAATTTCTTCGGAAATTAGTAAGAACAGAATTAAGGGCCCATACTCCTATGCACCGCTCGATAATTTCATATGCAGCCCTTTAGGTGTGGTACCTAAACGTTCACCTAATTCCTTTCGTCTGATCCATGATCTATCTTACCCTAAATTTGGTACTTCTGTCAATTCATGCATTCCGGAAGAAAAATCCACTGTTCAATTAGAAACATTTGATCATGTTGCAAGTTTGGTTCTACAATCAGGCCAACATTCCCTTATTTCCAAAGCTAATATTGAAGACGCTTTCAGAATCATTCCAATTTCGCCCCTAGATTATCATAAACTAGGTTTCACATTTCAAGGGCATTATTACTTTGACACAGTGTTGCCAATGGGAGCCTCCTCTTCTGTGTCTATCTTTGAATCTTTCTCAAAAGCCATTCAGTGGATCATGCAACATTCACTAAAAGTACGGAGAGTTTCACATATAATAGATGATTTTATATTTGTTGGTTCTCCGGCTTCTAGAGAATGTCATGAGGCACTTACAAAATTTTTTACATTAGCTGCAGACATAGGAATTCCAATTAAAACAGATAAAACAGTGTTTCCTTCAACGTCCGTTGAAGTCCACGGCATAACGATGAACACAGCAACCATGACTGCGTCCCTACCTACTGATAAAATTATTAACCTAAAATCACTTTTACTTCAGAATATGCACAAAAAGAAAGTGTCCCTTAAAACCTTGTAATCTATTTTGGGTCATCTTAACTTTGCTTGTAAAGTTATCAAACCAGGCAGATGTTTCCTAAGGCGTTTATATGATCTTACTAAAGGACACATTAAAAGCTGGCATTTCATTAAGATAAGTAAAGACTGTCGAGCAGATCTAAAGCTTCGGTACTCCTTTTTATCAGATTACAATGGAGTCACTCTTCTTACTGATGATAGGTTTATTTCTTCAAAAACCCTCCATCTATATTCAGACGCTGCGGGTTCTAAAGGTTTTGCATACACCCATCAGTCTTCTTGGACTTATGGAGTTTTTCCTGATAAAATAAAAACATGCCACATTAATATTCTAGAGCTTTACCCAAATGCCCTTGCAGTCTCTATTTTTTGTAATTGTTGGGAAAACAAAAACATACTATTCATTTGTGACAACCTTGCAGCAGTACATTGCCTGAATAAGCAGACTTCAAAAGACCCCCGTATGATGAAGCTTATTCGCATAATTGTATAAAAAGCTCTTCGTTACAACTTCTGTTTTAATGCCACCCACATTCCTTCAAAAGACAACACTATTTGTGATAAACTATCTCGATTACAGGTAACAGAGGCTTTGGAACTGGCTCCTCACCTAAACAGGGACCCTGTACCAATTCCACGAGAAATGTCACCATGGATATTGCTCACGTGAAGAAGTCCTTGTTGCATTCTTCTCTGGCTCCGGGAACCCATAAAGCTTACGATCGGTTTTGGGAACGGTTTCTATGCTTTGTTTCTACCAGTGTTGTCCATTTCTCACCCTTGCCTGCCACACCTGATTGCATATCAGATTTTGTTGCACATCTACACATCTTGGCTTTTGCACCATCTTCCATAAGCAGTCATTTATCTGCTATATCTCACTTCCATAATATATCCGGTTTCACAGACCCTTGTGAAAACTTTATTACTCGCAAGATGTTAGTGGGATGTAGAAAGATAAACCTCCGTTCAGATACACGGAAGCCATTGCTAAATAATCACATTCAATTACTCTGTCAAGCAGTTAAAGAAATGTTCGCTCATGTTCCATACCTTAAATACTTATATATGGCATTAATTTTGACTGCCTTTAATGGTTTTTTCAGATTGGGAGAGCTCCTTCCTGCCACAATCTCTTCAGCAGATAAAGTAGTTCAAATAACTGATCTATCATCTTCCTCTAAATCAGTCCGGCTTAAACTACTCAATCACAAAACAAATAAGTCTGATAAGCCAACGTTAATTCTTATGAAATCCTTACAAACAAATTGCCCTGTAAAAGCATTAAATAATTACTTGTCTATGCGGGGACAGTCTGCTGGTCCTCTGTTCTTATTAGCCAATAACTCGCCCTTAACATTACCTTCCTTTCGGGAGGTTTTTAAGTTACTCTTACGTTTAGCAAACTTATCACCAGTTCACTACAAACTCCACAGTTTCAGAATTGGAGCTTGCACTCAAGCAATTCTTTCTGGTACACCCGAAAATGAAGTAATGCGCATGGGCCGCTGGAAATCTAATGCATTCAAACGTTACATTCGAATGCCAGTTGTTAATGCCACTCACTAATAAGCATGATAAATTATAGAACTTGTATTACTTTGTAATGTACATTCATAACCAATGTTTGTGCACTGGTTTTAAGTTGCAACACCTGATTCATTATTAATATGTGTGTCATGCCACACTGTAATCATACTAGTTAGTCTTATTTTTCTGCCATAAGCTGTAATGTCAAACTGATATTTTGCACAGTATTAAGATATACTGCTCACTTGTGCATACCTCATTCCCCCCTTTTAGTCCATTGCTAATACGAAATACCTTCTTTCAATATTTGGGTGTACTGATTAATATGTGTCATTCAACTACAGCCTGTTTACAGGTTTCATATTTACAAACAGTATTGGGGTGTACTGTTTATTATTGATAAATTGTTCAGCTTTTGGCATCAAACTGCAACTTGTTTGTAATTTCATATTTTTAAACAGTATTGGGGTGTACTGTCCTTTTGTACATTGTTAAACTTATGTCATTCAACCACAACTTGTTTGTAGATTTCATATTTCTAAACAATATTCACATATACTACTTATAATAGTGTTTCTATTTTTATTTAATTGCCTTAGACTTTACCAAATTGATTGTTTTTCACAATAGTGCATATATTTCTATTATGTACATGCTGACTGCCTAATGTAATTGCTTATTTGGAAATACTTTCATCTTGTTGTTGAAACAATGTATTCTTGATTCAATTATTATTTGTTAAATTGTCATATTGCTGTGCCTTGCTTATACATCTCAAATTCTAACAATGTTTACTGCATTAATTGTTTCAAGTTCACTTTTATAAAAAATTTCATAGGTCTTCGCCTAACTTTTTCCTAACAGTATTGGGGTGTACTGTTACTCGATCTGACATGCATTGTTTTGACTATGTACATTTGTAAATACCTAAGTTGTTTTATTTCAACCACATTAATTGTTACATTATGAGTTCAACATATTTCAAACTGGATACATAGACCTTGATGCCGGCTCGCCACGGCGAGCCGGTATTACGTTAGGATTTTACTGAGAAACAACCTAAAACTCCGAATCCATCCAAAAATTTAATCGAAGCTTGGCTTCCAGCTTTCTACAAAATTTATCTATCAGGGCTAGGATCAAAAATTATTTAGCCAATCAAATTTAATCTTACATAGCGTCAAAAAAACCTTCAATTTTCACGCCATTTTTAAAAAGCAGCAAGTATTATTTTGAGCGCAAAGATATACTGATGATTAAAATGTTTGTTTTCATGAATTCTTTTCAATAAATCATATTTACACTGACTTTTGATTTAGCGATCTCATCTGTTCCTCTGTAGTAAGTTTTCGTTTGGTTAATTAACATAAGTGTACATCTGGTTCTGTGCATTTTTTTTCTTTTTCCTTTTTTCCGGTCATTTTAACCTTCCGGTATTTAGTGTATATATTTACTGGCCGGGATCCGGGACGCCCGGACTGGCCGGGATCCGGGATCGTATAAGATATAGAGGAAAAACTAATAAACTATATTTGTGTTGATTATTGTCTTAATGAAAGGCCATTAAACGTTTAGTTTTTTTTATTGTATGTAATGAACGTTCAATTAATTAAACTTAGGATATAAATATATTTAGAGCTATTTATTAACAAACTTAAAATGCAGAAATCACAATACTTATAATTATATGCCTAATTAATTGGAAAAATCAAAGACTACATTCTTGAATTGGTCAAATCCCGGGATCCTTTTATGTTTTAATGCGATCCCAGCTTTTCTGAAAACTATATTCTTGAACTGGCCAATTCCTGGGATCTCTTTATATTTTAATACGATCCCGGCTTTTCTGAAAATTATTTTCTTGAACTGGCCAATTCCCGGGATCCCTATATGTTTTAATAGGATCCCGGCTTATCTGAAAAACATCTTAGACTGGTCAATTTCCGGGATCCCTATATTTTAAATAGGATCCCGGCTTTTCTGGCTGAATTGATTGACAACTTGTGTTTACTTTAGGACTTGTGTCTGTCACTCATTCCAATACTAAATAACATATTACAACTTAACTTCGTATAAAGAGACATCTTTATGAATTCTACCTATCTAACATTTATTTGGTCAAGGTCAACAGGCCATACAGTAAATGTGCATAGACATAGGGACTTCATTTTATCTGTTTACATGCATCTTCATATATACTCATATTTCTCTTTGTTAAACTGAGAGAACTGGCTTCCATCACTTTTATTTTGATGTTCGCTCAAGTCTCTACAGCTAACAGAACTGTCATTTTTACATTTAAACGCACCCCTGGAAAAAATTTACGAAGCGAGTCGCTACTAGCTTTTTTAAAAGCTAACCTTGTTAACAGTATTGGGGTGTACTGTTACTTTATCTGACATGCATTGTTTTGACTATGTACATTTGTAAATATCTAATAGTTGTTTTATTTCAACCACATTAATTGTTACTTTATGAGTATTCTACAAATTTTAAACTGGATACATAGACCTTGATTAACAGTATTGGGGTGTGCTGTTACTTCTTCTGACATGCATTGTTTTGACTATGTACATATGTAAATACCTAATATTGTTTTACTTCATATACTGTACCATATGAAACTGCTGAATTATAACCTTGATGTTACATGTATTTTGTCTAAACCATGTGCCTACTTGCCTTTTTGGTTGGACTGATATGGACTGTTGTTTGTCCAACTTTCTGTCTTTTAAATCACTTATATCTGCATGTTTTATCTATGTTCTTAGTTTTATAGAGTTTTATAATGATAAATAAATCCGTCTGGCATGCTCTCATGCCAGACATGTTCAATCCAAAACTGTGTTGTGAATTCCCTTTCAAATTTTCGACAGAAATAAAACTACAAAGGCACATAGGCACAAATATAAATAAACATTACAAAAAGTGAGGTTGATAATATGTAATGCACTGTACGTAAATATTTTATGAAGTATTAAAAAACACAGAAGAGTACATTTTGTAGTTTTCCAATGTCTTTTACTCGTAATATAGTTTCCAGTTGCATATACATACAGTATAAAAATAGACAGAGCTGAAATCTTGTTTTTAAAGTTTCCATACCCAAGGGGTTAGGGGGTCTTTACCATAATAGAAATATTAGATGACCTTTCAAAAACTGAAGTGATCATCAGCAAAGTGTTTGTAGATAATATTATGTACCATTTCATGTATTCAGTTTGTTTCTCACGACAAGAATATATGCAAAACGTCATTATTTTTACTTGGTGGGCGTGATTAAGATTTCGGATATTTATTAACGCTCCGGTAGTTCTCAAAAATTTTGATTGAAGCCAGAAGACAAGACGCTATGCCTAGATGTCTTAAAGATAATGACAAGAGATGCCATGTCTACTTCCCGGCATATGACATGAATTATAAAATCCCAAGACATCTGTTATTGTCTGTTAACCTGTTCGTATGTGCTACATAGCCCCTATATACCATTGCAATGAATTTAATAAAAACATGGGAACTTCACAAACGCATGTTGCCAAACAAGCTCAATGTTCAGATCACATTACTATTTTAAATCTTCGGGTCTCCATTGTTGTTCTCCCCACAACTATACCGGTCAACACTAAACTAAATAAATTGTGTAAAAAATGTAACAGTCTAATTACAATATCACAGCCGAATGTTGGAGTGACCTGTGTTGAATCTGTATCCTATTACTTTTATGGTAAAAATATTATATAAGGAAACATCATTTTCAAACAAACAAGATTGTCTGCATATTATTCGAACCGGTAAGTACATGAATTCGTATGTGAGAAGTAAGCAGTTAACAGTGAGCTAAGCAAAAAGGCATTACGATTTATATAGGGAAATCAATGATCTGCTGTTATGCTCAGCTGGGTAAGCAATCTAGCAGAGCATTCCAAAATAAAGTGTAGAAATGCTTTGCTGGTATGCTCAGCTGGGTAAGCAATCTAGCAGGCCATTACTAAATATAGTGTAAAAATGCTCTGCTGGTATGCTCAGCTGGCTAGGCAATCTAGCGGGGCGTTCCAAAATAAAGCGTAAAAATGCTCTGCTGGTATGCTCAGCTAGCTAAGCAATCTAGCAGGGCATTCCTAAATATAGTGTAAAAAATACTCTGCTGTTATACTCAGCTGGCTAAGCAATCTAGCGGGGCATTCCAAAATATAGTGTTAAAAGCTCTGCTGTTATGCTCAGTTGGATAAGCAATCTAGCGGGGCATTCCAAAACATAGTGTAAAAATGCTCTGCTGTTATGCTCAGCTGGCTAAGCAATCTAGCGGGGCATTCCAAAATATAGTGTAAAAGTGCTCTGCTGTTATGCTCAGCTGGCTAAGCAATCTAGCGGGGCATTCCAAAATATAGTGTAAAAATGCTCTGCTGTTATGCTCAGCTGGCTAAGCAATCTAGCGGGGCATTCCAAAATATAGTGTAAAAATGCTCTGCTGTTATGCTCAGCAGGCTAAGCAATCTATCGGGACATTCCAAAATATAGTGTAAAAATGCTCTGCTGTTATGCTCAGCTTGGTAAGCAATCTAGCGGGGCGTTCCAAAATATAGTGTAAACATGATCTGCTGGTATGCTCAGCTGGCTAGGCAATCTAGCAGGGCATTCCTAAATATAGTGTAAAATGCTCAGCTGTTATGCTCAGCATTTTTACACTATATTTTGGAATGTCCCGCTAGATTGCTTAGCCAGCTGAGCATTCCACCAGAGCATTTTTTAACTATATTTCGGAATGCCTTGCTAGATTGCCTAGACAGCTTAGCATTCCACTAGAGCATTTTTACACCATATTTAGTAATGCCCTGCTAGATTGCCTAGGCAGCTGAGCATTCCACCAGAGCATTTTTTCACTATATTAAGGAATGCTCTGCTATAGTGCCTAGCCAACTGAGCATTCCAGCAGAGCATCTTTACACCATATCTAGTAATGCTCTGCTAGATTGCGTAGCCAGCTGAGCATTCCACCAGAGCATTTTTTCACTATATTAAGGAATGCTCTGCTATAGTGCCTAGCCAGCTGAGCATTCCTGCAGAGCATTTTAACACTGTATTTAGTAATGCCCTGCTAGATTGCCTAGCCAGCTTAGCATTCCAGCAGAGCATTTTTACACTATATTTCGTAAAGCTCTGCTAGATTGCCTAGCAGATTAGCATTCCACCAGAGCATTTTACACTATATTTAGAAATGCCCTGCTAGATTGCCTAGCCAGTTTAGCATTCGAGCAGGGCATTTTTACACTATATTTAGTAATGCCCTGCTAGATGATTGCCCATCCAGCTTAGCATTCCAGAAAAGCATTTGTTCACTATCTTTAGTAATGCCCTGCTAGATTGCCTAGCCAGTTTAGCATTCGAGCAGAGCATTTTTACACTATATTTAGTAATGCCCTGCTAGATGATTGCCCATCCAGCTTAGCATTCCAGAAAAGCATTTGTTCACTATCTTTAGTAATGCACTGCTAGATTGCCTAGCCAGCTTAGCATTCCAGCAGAGCATTTTTACACTGTCTTTAGTAATGTCCTGCTAGATTGCCTACTCAGCTTAGCATTCCAGCAGAGCATTTTACACTATATTTAGTAATGCTCTGCTAGATTGCCTAGCCAGCTTAGCATTCCAATATAGCATTTGTACACTATATTTAGTAATGTCCTGCTAGATTGCCTAGCCAGCTTAGCATTCCAGCAGAGCATTTTTACACTATATTTAGTAATGCCCTGCTAGATTGCCTAGTCAGCATAGCATTCGAGCAGAGCATTTTCTCACTATATTTAGTAATGCCCTGCTAGATTGCCTAGCCAGCTTAGCTAGCCAGCTGAGCATTTCAGCAGAGCATTTTAACACTAAAGGTAGGAATGCTCTGCTAGATTGCCAAGACAGCTGAGTACTGCAGCAGAGCATTTTTACACTATATTTAGGAATGCCCTGCTAGATGCCCAAAACAGCTGAGCATTACAGCAGATCATTACCTTCCCTATATAAATTGAAATGCCTTTTTGCTTAGCTCACTGTTCACTGCTAACTTCTCACATACCATGAATGCATTGTTCGTTGTGTCTGTATCCATTACAAGGCTACAATATTAAGCATTCAAATCATATGGCAAGAAATATATGTCTGACTCGTAAAAAAATATGAAATGTCATATCTAAAAGAAAATAACCAGTTTTATGGCAAATTTCTAATTTGCAATCTAAGGGAGGCAATACATGAATTTATTTTATAATTTTAACTAACGTAGATATATAACTACACGTGTCTGTACTTTAAAATGATTTTTTTCCAATATAACAAATACATATATATCATATATAAATGTCAGCGTGACATATTTTCTTATACCGTTTTATACAAAAACCTGTTTCATTCTAATTAGTTGAAACATATTTTACTTGATATTATCTCCTGATTGACAGATGAAGGCACGTTGCCTTTAATAATTATTGTTCTTAATCAGTTGGGCTCCGGTTTCCGAGACGCACGCTTCATTATTCGGGTCCGGACTTGGAATAATACAGAATTATTCTTTTATTAGTGATTTAGAGAAGGATATTAGTGCGTGATTTGAATACATCAAGCGGGCAAGGTAAGAATTTATTATTGGTGTTGAGTGGAATATTTACTGGGATTCTGTCTCACTTTCTTATTTTTTTTTATTTCTTTCCCCTTTTTATAAGGAAATATGCAATTTTCGGTCTTATTCATTTCAGTCTATTAATTATTGATAAATATATATTCAGCTTTTCATTTGGAAACCCCAATGTTTTTCCCCACAAATTTTGAAGTTTTTTTTAATAAGAATTTATCGTAATAATCGTGTCTTTAATTACCAATAGAGAAATATAATTTGTAAGTGGAAAACAGCAAAATGTAACATATATCTAGTATCGTTTTTATCTTAATTTAACCAAATTCGGAACTCAATGTATATATATATACTTTATAATTATATTTCAAATTCAAAATTAAATATTGTAACAGCATAATTCACATGATACAGTCATATCACAGGGTGCAAAGTTTTATAATTACAATAATAATTTGACTTAAATTCTTTCTTCAGATATTACTTTTATTTTTTTAACAAAAAATACAAGGGTTGTCTTGGAATTTTAAATAAGTCTAATGTAACCATACACATACACTATTTTTATCATGATAGAAGATAAGCATACAACAATTTTACAATGAAAATACGGTTAAAAAATGACGAAAAGTATCAAAAATAAACATGTCACTTATGATCACCCGGAGCACATAGACAGTTAATCAATAATAAACACTATATCAAAACATAAAACGAAAACATAAAAAAGCGAAATATTGATTGTCAGTATTGCAAACAAAATGCCTCAAAAAGAGTAAAGTAATAATAAGTAAGATAATAAATAATAAAATATTAATAAATGCATATATAAAAAGAACAAGAACACATATTATTTTATGCTTTTAGTGGATTACTGATTTATCAATGAAACTTATATCTAATAATTTCACAGTGAAAATTATCAAAATATAATTTCACACTTTTAAATTACGAAACTATTTTTTTAAGATTTTCCCCACGTGGTACCTCAATTTTATTTCTGCTGACAATTCTGACATTGTCAGACTGTTCAGAGAAAAGCAAAGCTGAAATTGATAAATAAATTTATTGTGAAAAGTAATAAAAAGAAGAAAACTTTCTTCTATTCATTCAAATTACCAATTACCAAATATCGTCTCTTATGTTTTTTGTTTCATTTTTATAAGTCTGAAAAATAAATTTCTTCCACATGCAAAACTGCTATATATGACATTTTGGCATATTTAAGTATCCTACGAGCAATAACTGCCGTATGCCTTATGAAAACTTGAAAAGCAATGACAGCCATCAGCCGAAGAATAAGTAAACAACCCAACGTTCGTTAGGCAGCCTTTCAACTCTCGAAGTTTTCGAATTTCCTAGCCGCTTTTGAATGTTTACACTTCTGTCATTACTTATTCATTGTCTGTTACAATCCTCAAATAAGTTTTCTTTCTTTTAAAAAGGTGTATAACTGGTAAATCCAAATCATATCCCTCTGAATCAAACACGATTATTTTCCTCCCGTGAAATACACAACTTGTAAAATTGGCGGCCGCTTACATTAAACAAAGCCAAGTCTTATATAAATTCGCAGTAAGTAACAGAAATATGGATGGATGGTTTGACTTTTTCTCCTACTATAATTGTTCGATAATACTATTAAAAAATCGATCATTATTTTTTTTAATAGAATGATTAATATCACCGCCATTTAACATTGATTGTTAAACTTATTTTTCAGCCCAAGACTTCTTTTATTTCATGTCAAATTCAACTAATGAGCGCTCATTGGGGAAAATAAATTTTAATATTAACATTAATATCAAGGAAATTTCTTTTTAACTTATTTTTAAGCATAAAATAAAAAGAAAGTTTGTTCTGTAAGGTATAATTTTTTTCATGTCGTGAACTTTAAAAACAATATTCCTACTCGTGGTGTAATCAAATGTTTTCCTGAAAATTTGGTTGGTAGGAAATAAGACTCATGCCACTTCATGTGCTTCAATGTTACTCGCAGGAAAGGAGGTAAATACTGGTACAAAAATTCAGGTCTCTTTCCTGGGCAAAGCATGGAAATGTTGGGATGTATCCCAGCTAATTTGCTCAGCTGGTAAATAATTAAGCATTCTTTTCGAAAAAAGCAGGGATTTTTTTCGGAAAAAGCAGGTTGATGCTTATAAAGAATCAAGGAACACTTCTTAGTCACTTCTCTGTCGGTGTAAGAGGTTGATACTAAGTGGTGTTAAATCCAGTAAATAAAAAAATCATTTTAAATAGCTATAAAATAACAATAATTAATGTAGATCAAGATGAAACGATAAAGTTCAGAGTTTATCAACACATGAGAAGCGAACACATATTGAATAAAAATGTTATGGCATATGACATTTATCATGACAACAATATTGCGTTTTAAAATGGATCAACTACGCATATATTAAAAAAAAAAACTTTTATGATTCATACCAAAGGACATTCTATTTTATTTGCGTACATTATCTGTTATTTAATCAAGATTTTTCTCCGCGGTAGGTTTCAGATGTTTTCTTTTTGTGCAAATTGAAATGAATTTTATATTTTGTTCATTTTTTTGTTAGGATTTTAAATTTACAATGTGCTGTCTTTTACACATGCTCCAATCAATAAACTTTTAATAACAAAGGAGAAAATTAAGAAAAAAAAAGAAAAAAAAACGAAACAAGGAAAAACGACTGAGAAGGAACAAATACGAAACGTATCTGCTCTTATGTTAATATAACGTTTTTTTTTCTATTTATTTCAAATATTAGAATAAAATAAAAGTACAAAACCGAGCTATTAGTCAGACAATATGTTGCTGACATTAAATATAAGAAGTTGCGAATTCGGATATTGCATACATTCGTCTGAAAACAGAAAGTTTTTTTCTGAAACAAACTTTACGGTTATATAACAAGACATAAGCCGCGTCATGACAAAACCAACATAATGGGCTTGCGACCAGCATGGATCCAGACCAGCCTGATGCTGATCAGGATCCATGCTGTTCGCTATCAGTTTCTCTACTTGCTATAGGTTTTTTTTAAGCGAACAGCATGGATCCTGATCAGACTGCGCGGATGCGCTGGCTAGTCTCGATCCATGCTGGTCGCATATCCATTATGTTGGTTTTGTCCTGACGCGGCTCATATCTGTTTTCTATAATATAGTTACACCCCAACCATGGACCTCAGTTTGTTATTTTCTATAATATAGTTATACCCCAACCATGGGCCTCAGTTGGTTATTTTCTATGATATAGTTACACCCAAACCATGGGTCTCAATTGGTTATTTTCTATAATATAGTTATACCCCAACCATGGGCCTTAGTTGCTTATTTTCTATAATATAGTTACACCCCAACCATGGGACTCAGTTGGTTATTTTCTATTATATAGTTGTACCCAGCCATGGGACTCATTTGGTTATTTTCTATAATATAGTTACACCCCAACCTTTGGGACTCATTTTTCTTTAATATAGTTACACCCCAAACATGGGCCTCACTTGGTTATTTTCTTAAATATAGTTTGACCCCAACCATGGACCTCAGTTGGTTATTTTCTATAATATAGTTACACCCCAACCATGGGACTCAGTTGGTTATTTTCTATAATATAGTAACACCCCAACCATGGGACTCAGTTGGTTATTTTCTATGATATAGTTACACCCCAACCATGGGACTCAGTTGGTTATTTTCTATAATATAGTTGTACCCCAACCATCGGACTCAGTTGGTTATTTTCTATAATATAGTTACACCCCAACCATCGGCCTCAGTTGGTTATTTTTTATAATATAGTTACACCCCAACCATGGGACTCAGTTGGTTATTTTCTATAATATAGTTACACCCCAACCATGGGACTTAGTTGGTTATTTTCTATAATATAGTAACACCCCAACCATGGGACTCAGTTGGTTATTTTCTATAATATAGTAACAACCCAACCATGGGACTCAGTTGGTTATTTTTTATAATATAGTAACAACCCAACCATGGGACTCATTTGGTTATTTTCTATAATATAGTTACACCCCAACCATCGGCCTCAGTTGGTTATTTTTTATAATATAGTTACACCCCAACCATGGGACTCAGTTGGTTATTTTCTATAATATAGTTACACCCCAACCATCGGCCTCAGTTGGTTATTTTTTATAATATAGTTACACCCCAACCATGGGACTCAGTTGGTTATTTTCTATAATATAGTTACACCCCAACCATGGGACTTAGTTGGTTATTTTCTATAATATAGTAACACCCCAACCATGGGACTCAGTTGGTTATTTTCTATAATATAGTAACAACCCAACCATGGGACTCAGTTGGTTATTTTTTATAATATAGTAACAACCCAACCATGGGACTCAGTTGGTTATTTTTTATAATATAGTAACACCCCAACCATGGGACTCAATTGGTTATTTTCTATAATATAGTTACACCCCAACCATCGGCCTCAGTTGGTTATTTTTATAATATAGTTACACCCCAACCATGGGACTCAGTTGGTTATTTTCTATAATATAGTTACACCCCAACCATCGGCCTCAGTTGGTTATTTTTTATAATATAGTTACACCCCAACCATGGGACTCAGTTGGTTATTTTCTATTATATAGTTACACCCCAACCATGGGACTTAGTTGGTTATTTTCTATAATATAGTAACACCCCAACCATGGGACTCAGTTGGTTATTTTCTATAATATAGTAACAACCCAACCATGGGACTCAGTTGGTTATTTTTTATAATATAGTTACACCCCAACCATGGGACTCAGTTGGTTATTTTTTATAATATAGTTACACCCCAACCATCGGCCTCAGTTTGTTATTTTCTATGATATAGTAACACCCCAACCATGGGACTCAGTTGGTTATTTTTTATAATATAGTTACACCCCAACCATGGGACTCAGTTGGTTATTTTCTATGATATAGTTTACACCCCAACCATGGGACTCAGTTGGTTATTTTTTATAATA